TGGTTTCAGACACTGTAAGAGAAATTCACACATGCCTTTTTTTAATCTTAATAAGCACTGTGTATCACAGAGGGCAAACCTAGAACAAAAACAACATGAAACAGTAAAAGTTGACAGATTACCTCCTTCTCCATAGTACAATAGGCCATTGTAGAATTTGGTTTCTGCCTTGAAAAGCAACAAAACAAGGCAAAATTAATATGTTAAAGAAAACAAAGTAAAAGAAAAGAGCTACTAAAATTGCTGAAAGTAACAGTAGCTTTACTTCCACCTTACTTAAGAGTATGCAGACATGCCAATATAAACATGACATAATCATAAGCCATGCACAAAGTAACTGAGCTGTTTGACCACACTTACCTCATATTTAAGCTTCTTAACTTCACTGCAGAGAGCAGCATAAACTGTAATAACTTTGTTCAGGACCTGCACACAACCAAAGTGACATTTGTTTTTTTTTAAAAAAAAGAACAACTCTGTGGATATGAAAATGAAAAATGACTCCTTTGTTTGTCTGTACTCACCTTATTGTCAGTTTTAATTAATTCTAATAAGGATGACTGCTCATAGGGAAGAAGCTGAAAGGGCATAAAGTATAAGGAAGGAAATTACGCAAGTTATAACTGTGTAAAAGCAATGTCAGTCTTTTCAACCAAGCCAGTATATTTGGGGGTTTTACCTTAAGGGCAATGGGGTCCAGAGTAAAGTCCCATACATCTCCAATGGACTCATCCAGAGCCTCTTCAATACCCTTCAGCTGAGAGGTGTACTCCTCCAGAAACTTCCTGTAGTTCTTCAGTTGAACCTCTGTGTGTATCTCTGTTGGGAGGAAGGTTTGACAACGTTACTGACTGGTACTAACCAGAAAAAAAATTGGTTGATTTTCTGCCCTTCCTTTACAAGTTTACAACATTTTATAAGCAACAATGCTGCTCTTGCACTACTAGATTTTCATTAAAGAAAGAGACACTTGTAACTGTCCTTTAAAGCTTAAAGCATGATTCAGTTGCCCAATAGATTCTAAATTTAACCTAAAATATGTAAATCTACACTATGCCTGGTTACAAGGTGTTACCAAACTACCTTTTCCAATAAATGTAGTTGACTAACGGCACATATAGGTCGTTCGTTCAGGTTGTCGCAAATAAATATTTTGAGAGCCAGAGAAGGAAAGTCACAAGGAGATAAACACTGGGCAGTTTTACTAAACATAACATTAAATAAACAAACAAACAAACAAGTAAATTAAATGTGAGTAAACAAAAGAGTACGGCGTTAACTACACAGTCAAAACCAGCTGTCAGATCGATCAGCTGTACGTGACAAATTGCGTCGATTTACGTTCGCCAGCTACAGCTAGCTATTAATTCCACTAATTTACTCCTTCAGTTTTAATTATTCCGGGGGTAGTAAATACTTACTTTTATTTTGATGGCATTTACTAAACATACATTTTGGGAATTAAACAGCAGCCTGCAGTTTCTTTCACTAATACGAAGCCCAGCTGCAAAGCATCGAGCTAGCAACTTGAGCTAGCGGTTGATGCTAAAGTAGTAAACTTTAGCCTGCCACAGTCTTTCTTTGCATGTCAGGGTTCAATTGAGCACTTACTTTGTGAACCATCGTCAAAACGGTCAAACTCCCAGTCGGGTGAGATAATTTCCACCGCCATGGTGCTAGAATGAATAAGCGAAAATCCCAAACACAGCGCTGCTAAAAAGTAGTACTACAAGATCCCATGATGGATCTCATGATTCTCCGAAAGGCCGCTAATGCTCATGGGAAACTGAGTCTCTGAGGAAGGAACATTAGATGAGCTGACACTCAGGATAGACAGACAGATAGGTGTGTGTGTGTGTGTGGTGATGGGTTGTTAGAATATTGCCACACTGGAGATTGAACACACCATTCAGACATTAACAGAAACCACAAGGAACAGTCACGCTCAGCAGCAGTGTGCCAGAAGAGATGCCTCCTGTTGTTCTCTTATGGTGTAAGAAAAGGGTAAGGCACATTTTCATTGTTTTTTAACTTGGAAAAAAAACTGGAGTGTCTTAGATTAAAACAAGAAATGTTTCATTATCAAGGGAGTTTGTTATCAGAGGTACTGGAGAGATGGCGAAACACCAGGAAAAAGTAAGCAGTGCAAAATTCTCAAAAAAGTCCTTTTTTCTGTCCTTAACCAATTTAATCTTCAAACTGGATACACTTTTTTTAAGTGTATCTGGTGGGTTCAGGAATACAAGAGTCCTCATTGATAACCGTAAAAACTAAGAACAAAATTATTTATATTTGGATTTATTACTGTTAGATATTTGTATGTTTTTGATCATTTAAAGGTTTGTTAATTAGAACCTGCTTAAACTCTAATCTTAATAAAAGTATATCTTTGTTATTATATGTTGGATGTCTTGTGATTATAAGATACTGTATTTTTGTTATATTAATTATTAATTATATTAATATTCCCAACTGAAAAGAAGTATAACAAAATAAACAAAACAAAACAAAAAAAAAGGACAAATTTGATTCTGACATAGTCTGTAATTTTTTATTTTAGCTTGTGATAAAAAGTAGCTAAAAAGTAACACATTTTGTCCATTTCCCATCTTATAAACTGCCAACCTCAGTGGTTTAGTACCTGGTCATGTCTAAGGAATTTCAAATAAAGAGCACTGTCTCTGCAAGACAATGCAGCCTCAGTGATACTGATGTGAAACGGGCATGAAGAATGATAATGCAAGCAATCCTTGCAATCAGATGATTCTGAAACAGGCTTGTACAAGAAACCCTCTCTCTATCTCTATAATAAAGTTGCACACTTGGCAATGACATAAGTTTTTCTATTTCCTATTTAGATCAACTTTTTGTAATCATTGGCGTAGGAGCAGCTGGAGCAACATATCGCTGAACCAAAGTTTGCACCATGGTTGACCAAGAGTCAAAGGATACAAAACTGACCCAAAGTGACTCTGTTTGCCCAAGCCAACAAAACAGATCCAACACATCTTTATCACAGTTCTCTGGAAGCTCACAGAATTTTACTTCTAATGAAAATATCTATTATGAGCCAGAGGAGTACACCGAGACAGATTTTTTGCTCCCAAATCAGCTTTATGGCAGGTCACGGCTCACCAGATCCCCTCAACCAAAAGATGCAAATGTCTCAGGTGCACCTGAAGAGTCCATCTGTTCCCTGGTTGTGCAGATTCTGGTGCCATTTCTGTTGGCTGGGCTTGGAACAGTTTCTGCCGGGATACTGCTCGATATTGTTCAGGTCAGGAACAGAACACTGCAATGTTTAAAATTGTTTTCTTTACATAAATATTTTGCAATATGTATTTTATTTATATATTTTTTGGGCAGAGCTGGGAGGTGTTCCAAGAAATCACAGAGATCTTAATTCTGGTCCCAGCTGTTTTAGGCATGAAGGGAAACTTGGAAATGACTCTGGCTTCAAGACTCTC